CTCTTCACACGTCTATTACGCAGTACCACGTGGTTCTTTTTCTTTTCTTTCTGTGGCACGTTTTGTGTCATACGTGCACATGTCAGTACAGTACTTTCTGTTTTCCTCTCCTCGACACTTTTTTTAAAACTGTCGAAGATCAAGTAGCAATAGTTTTATCACTTTTTTCCGGATGGTAATACTGAATGTGTGAACATGGTAACTTTGGTTCAGAATAAAAGTATAACTAATGATTATACAGCCAACGGCTGGAAAAACTACTAGAATATTCCGGTGAGAAAGGCTTGTGGATAGCCGTGAGCTATCTCACTTTCCTCGGAATTCTTTTCTCTATCAGGCAGTATGATTTGGAAAATTTTCTGACCAAAAATCAAAGACTTGCTTTTCTAGTCTTCAAGTTTTTCAAAAAACGCTATTATCAGGTTTTCTCATAAAATGGCGATATACACCTCATCTGATACAAAAATCTTCGGGCTATTCAAAATAGTATTCAGATTTGTTTCAGCTTTTGTTTTACTGAAAAGTCAAAAACAACGGAGTTCTTATGATTATGACACACTGTGTTACAAATATAACATCCAAACGCTTCTATTGCATATCTTTAATGACTCACACCTGTCTAGATATTCGGACCACCTCAGTTTGTAGCAAATTTTATGAGCTCAAAATGGTATATAATAGAAAGATGTATCTTTCGTTCAGTTGCTGTGTACTTCTTCTAAACTTAGCATTCATCATATTCAATTTTTCATATTACTTTTATAAGTTACATATAAGTTATAGACACGTGTCTTCACTGAAAAACAAAAATGTATTTTTCTCTTCACACGTCTATTACGCAGTACCACGTGGTTCTTTTTCTTTTCTTTCTGTGGCACGTTTTGTGTCATACGTGCACATGTCAGTACAGTACTTTCTGTTTTCCTCTCCTCGACACTTTTTTTAAGACTGTCGAAGATCAAGTAGCAATAGTTTTATCACTTTTTTCGGGATGGTAATACTGAATGTGTGAACATGGTAACTTTCGTTCAGAATAAAAGTATAACTAATGATTATACAGCCAACAGCTGCCGTTTCTATGGGTTTAGTCGCTGAGTTTGTGGCAGGTTTTGATGACCTTAAAGATGTCCATGAAATTATTAGTCATTCAAAATAATTTTCGCCAGGTAATATAGCACGGTATGCACTACCATTTGCCATACCAAATTTTCTAACTCGGTAAGAATGTAGAGCAAACATTTCTCTAAAAAAATGAGAGGTTGGAGAGCTCTGTACGATTTGTTCTGAGATTTCGGCAGCGATACCTCAAGAACACATAAACGAGTATTGAGTATTCGACGAGTACTCGATTGGTCCCTGATGGAGGCATCGCGGCCAAAACCGCAGAACAAATCGTACAGAGCTGTCCAATCTCTCATTTTGTAGAAAAATGTTTGCTCTACATTCTTACCGTGTTAGAAAATTTTTAACGAAGCACTTTAGGAAACGCCAGGTTTTGGAAAAATATAAAATCCTAAGTCAATTACTCGGTACATGGCTAATAACTATGCAATTAGAAGATTTTAGATAAAGCAGTTATAATAAGCGGTAGGGATATGATAATGAAATGGTATAAATAAATACTTTTTATTTTTTTAACGTTGTCCGAAAGGTGAGGTAAAGATATTACGGTTTTTGTAGTTTGAAGTAGTGCAATTGCATCTAAGTAAGTAGAAGCTCATTTCATTAATATTCTTAAGCTGTTCTGGAACTTAAGTTACTACTTAACTGCCGACTTAATGTCATCAATGAATGTTTCTTCAAAAATCTTCAGTGATGACTTAATTTTGTTTTACCTTCATGGATCGTGATCTCAAGTAAAACATTTGCTAAAGAAGTCTTCATAGTTGTTTTTGCTCAATAATGTAAATGGACATGCTAAAACGAACATCGATTTGAGTCTATGCCTAAGCTCACACTGTAAAAAATAAAGTGTGTGAATGATACACATAAAGCGAACACCAAGTCGATTCCCAGTGACCGTCGAGAATGCATGGCGTAGATGTGTAAAGTACACAGATATAGTTTTTAGTTACTTGTCTAAACTATCTGTGCTGAAAATGTCTCAGATTCGTCAATCGATTGTTCAAATCTAACATATGGCGATGTTTTTCTTTTCACTATTTTTTTCTTATACGTATTTGCCGAAAATGACAGCATATAGACTTTTTATGAGTCTGAAAAAAATTTTGTATCCGGTGCAGTAGTTTAGGGGGAAAATGGAAAATAAGAGATCTTTTTAACACACCTAGCTCTTTACACTCTAAGATTGACCGTCTAGAAAAGATACACACTTTTCGATGTCGAGTGAACGTTTAGAAGATTTACACAAATTTATTTTTTACAGTGTATCAATTTAAGAATATTGATGAAACATTTGACACAGATGCAATGAAGTAACCCGATTTTTCAGTGCCATTTGGACTGGAGAGATGAGAGTTAAAGTTTAAAAAAAAAAATTGATGAAACGTGCTCTCAGACGATGACATATATTAGTGACCTTAGACGAAGCAGCAGGTGTAAAGAAAAGACAAAATATACATTGTTTTGAATCGTTTCTTACTGTTTTTTTTTATTGTTAAATAGTGACTATTAAATGTAAATACGTTTTGTAGCAAAAAGAGGCATTTTTTTTAGAAAAAACTGAAGTGATGACATTGTGAAAGTTGAATGTAAGTTTTTCAGTTATGTTATCAGTTTTTTTCAATCGATTACATTCATTTTCTTATAGAAGACGTCTGCCATTATAAACGTTGTGTTGAAGAAATAGGTCATGTTTAGTCAGTATTAAAATAATGCGTTTTTTCTTCTATCTTTTTTTCTAGATATATTTTGTTAAAAAATTCGGTGATTACGTGTCATGGATAAAAGGCATTCAGCAAAATCCCATGTTTTGTCAATTCATCAAAAGTGTCATGATTTTTTAAAAAGCAATGAAATATTAGCAGCAAATAATAATTTGCTAGGAATATCAAAGCCATTGGAATCGTCTCAGCAACACCATTCATATTTATCAAAAAGTTTATCATCGACTTCGTTGATAACAGAATCCAATTTTCTACCTTGTTATAATAGTGCGATTGATTTAAGAGTTTCACCATTACATAAGATTCAAACAGAGACACGTTTTTTACATGCAACTACAAATTTACCTTTAACACTTTCATCACACATACGTTCTGATTCGGAAACATCGCGTTCGGATCATGAAAGTAGTAATACATCATCATCAGGAGTATCATCCGGAATTAGTTTTGATTCACATAAAAGCGAAATTGATTTTTCAATTGGTTTTGAAGATCCAGAAGAAGATACGCCATATTTAGATGACATAGACAGAGAATTTGAAGAACAAATTCTTGCAAAAGGTACTGGTGAGTACGCCATTCATATCTATGTTTGTATTTCGATGTATCTGATCTTTTTTCTTTATAGATACATTAACGGTAATTGGAAATGAAAATAATATCGATAAACGTATAACAGATTTTGAAGATTTATTGACTGAATACGATCAGGACGATGATAATGATGATGATTGTAATAGTAGCGGAAAACATACATCAGGATTTCTTAACTCACTCCATTCATCCACAAATACATTATACGCTGAACATTTTTCTATATTTACTGAAGGAGAAGATCAGGAAGCAAATGGCATATGTCGTTCAAATTCAATGAAAATTATACGAACGAAAGACAAAAAATTTTCAGAAAAAGCACCTAGAAAAGTTGTACGATTCGCTGATGCAATGGTAACAAAACTGACTATAACTAGTAATAATTAAAATTAAATTTGTGTCCTGTTTTAGGGTCTTGATTTAGAAGCAATCCGCTATATGACACCTCCAGACATGTCAACTATCGATTGTATTAAAACAAAATTAGAACAATTAAAGCTAATACGAACGAATAGTGGATTATCTAGTAGTGACCTTAATTCTATAACAATCGATTTTAGCAAACCAGCTCTTTATCTTGTATCAAAATCATTTATACCCCCATCAAATATTGCTCAACGAGTTTATGAACGACAAGTAGTCTTGGAATGTTTATATACAAAAGACATATCTGCTTATGGAACGGTGCGAGTTAATAACCGTTCGTTTGAAAAAAAAGTATTCGTTCGTTACACATGTGATCAATGGACGACATACAATGATAATCAAGCTGCACATAATTTACATAATTCGAATGATAATACTGATTTATTTACATTTGAATTAACGATTCCAGAAAAATTATTAACAGATGATACGTCATCACAACAAAATATGGCTATTTTCTTCACAATATGTTATCAAGTAATGGGGCGAGAGTATTGGGATAATAATTTTGGTTGGAATTACATTTTGGATATATGTAAACGGTAAAAACAGAAATAGAAAATACTATTAATTGGATAGCGTCAATTAACATTTCCTCAACCAAAACATTGATAGCTTTCCTGTTCTGTGATGTATAGTCTATCTGAATACACGTACTGTCTACTCTCGTGCCATGTTCTTGATACCACTTGTACTTGTATCACTCTGTGTCTCTATATATGACTCATCACAGAGTATGCAGGCTTTGGTCACTGATCGAGGCTATAAGCTGTATGGATGGAGCAGTGCGGGTATAGCACACTAGAGCGGTGCACAGGATGCGGATGAGAACATTAGACAATTTAGTCCAAAAGCAAATTCTTTGTACTGAATTCAAAGTTCAAGTATTCGACTCCATCAACTGTGTAATATTCTTTTGTGCTTTGCTTCTTTCTGTTCTATCCTTATTTCTGTCAATCAAACATTCTTCTTTTTGTTATGTTTGATAGTCAACGTTTTTGTTTCAGCTGGTGCATGTTATAAAAAACATTAACGAGTACTCTTATTTGTATTGAATTGTTGTTGGGTCCAGTGATGGGAGGGCTGAAGCGTCCCTTGGCTCTCGAAACGCGACAATAACTTTGCCAATCAAAAAAATGTTTCTTTTTCGGTTGCGGATTTTTTCCTTAGACAATTCTCCGATAAACGATTGAGGCCCCGTCAAACTAAGACCAGTGCGATCTCACTGAGAGTAATACACACACTCTATAATTTTCAATGAATGTGTTTTTTTTAGTTTGCAGATTATTAATATTAACAATCTTATTTTACTCTAGGTAGTGAGCGATTTGAACACAAGCAACAACTCCACAGAATATAAACAAATATATTTTTTTATATTTCAATTCATCATGTTACACAAAAAAATAGTGTAAAACTTAAACAAGCTTTAAACGGCTTCCGAGGTAAAATCCAACAGAATACCATCGTTTAGAACATCGTGCAAAGTGGGACGCATCGTGTACTGTTCGAGTTGTTTTATTATCTATGTCTTTATAATTAGTAATTTTATTCTAGTGGACATGGTTTGTTGTTCCAGGTGTAAATATTGATATGCGCAATGATGTGTGTCATATTGCAGTTAATTTCGTACATACAAGCCCGTTTTCTCTTAATTTTGTCAAATTCTTTAAACAACAGCAATCTTGGGTTTTCTTTTACCATAGTCGCTATTACAAAATTATGTTCTATAAAAAATGTTTTTTACTTTTTTGTCAATTTTATTCACTGAAATAGAAGAAAAAGCACGCTATTCTTTTCTATTTATTGCCCGTATTATTCGAGATGTCCCAAGCTTTTCTGCTTTCTGTCAATACGAAATGTGCACAATCAGTTCTTAAAGCCGTTCGCGACTAGCAGGCCATGATAGTATTATAGCGTGTGCTAACCAGGGATGTTCGGTTCTCATGAAGAACCGGAGCCGTGGTTCGACTCCATGTGAAGAAACGGTAACGCGGTAATCTTATTTCCGGTTCTTTATCGGGAACCGGAACCACAACTACAATATGTAGTTCTTTTGAACGTTTTATTATAAATTGTTTCTATTGTTCACTAATATTCTCTAAACTAAAATTATCTCCACCATCGGTCAATATGTATGATGATACATTTTTATCGTATCAGCTAATCCATTGTTTTTTCTTAAATGATCTATTTCTTCAAAACGTGCTTTTACTCCATCAAACAGAGCAGTTCTCGGACCAATAGCTTGTAAATTCTCTATATCTTTGATATGATTGTTTTGTAGAAAAATATTCATCTCTATATTTTTTAACACTGTTTAATTTAATTCGTTTAGAGGATTTACGATGCTGAAAAGCATGTCACTTACAAAAGGAACAAAAGGCTTCTATAACTTCTGCTTTTTATAGATTTAAATGGAGTAGAGTTCTATAGACTTTTATAGATCTAGATGGACTATTATGTAATATTGTATAATAGTCCACCACATAATGTCTCTGTTTCTTATGTTAAAAGCCTAGCTGACAATATGTAAATTGTACAATTCTGTCGTCGGTTGCTTTTTCCTTCTTTCCTGTACTGTTAATCCCGAAAGAAAAAGATGACGCATAAATCATAGATTTTATCTTTACATAGAATGATTATTCTTTTCCTCAAACAAATATAAATGATTTACTAAAGCACCAAAAAACTTGAAATCTTTATTCCGTCCGCAGTATCAAATATTGTGTCCCCGTTTCAAAAAGTAGAGCATGTCGTTCTGTCCAAATAACCTGACAATATAGCTTCTGTTTATGATCCAAAGAGAGAGACACATATTGAAGAAATATCTAGTTTAATGACAGGCTTAGACGTATCAAATTTCGATATTGTCAATATTACAATCACACACATAGTGAGAAAAAGAAAAGAACAGACCACGTGTATGTGTGTTATGCGTTACGTTACGTTGTTCTCTTCTTTATCTTTAATCTATTGTATACACAACATATACGTTTTCTTTTAATAGTCATTTCTTTTTGGTTATCGCAGTGTTAAGATCACTTTATCGTGTAGTCTATTGCAGCCATGCGCTGCTTTTTTAAATTTTTTATTTTAATATATAAGTTTGAAATATTAAATAACATATAACTAAAACTATGGTAAGTACACAGCAGTTTCACTGTGTGGAAGCAGAAAAAAAATAAGCTCTTTCGTTTTTGCTACATCTGTTACAAAGTTTTCTCCTAACAGTTTTGAAAGTCAAAAGCTGGGTTACCTTTGTCAGAAAATGCACAAAATCTAAGAGATTCGTTATACAGGTTCAATTAGCATGTGAACCATGTTAGAAGCTCTCAAAATAAATGCACTAAAGTGAGAAATGCACCAAATGGTTGATTATCGTCTCTATGAGTTTCCAGGATGTAGCGAAGATCAGTTCTGTCCTGTTTGACGCATAGAGGATAGCGGCATAGTTCCAGAGCACCTCATTCACAAGATGCTAGATTAGCTCTCGGCTCTAGCAACGAACTGTTCATAGTGTTAGTATTTCTCGGATACACATCCTCTGTAAGTACAAGCGTGATGTTTCATCGCATACAGCAAACGTTTCCTTACGGTAAAATCCATAGACGAGCAATACGATATCAATCTATCTCACGTATATTTTGAGATCTAATTTCAGTCTCATGGCAAAAAAATCAGATTTGAAAAATATTGGTGGATACGGTTAGATCAACGGTTGATGATAATCTTGAAGCATTCACTTTCGAATTTGATTTTCCAAACTACCTTCTGACTTAGCCATACTTCAAAAAAAACATTTAGTTCAACTTTGTAACAGTAGAAAAGGCGAAAGGACTTCTTCACTTTCCACCAGATATACTGTTCTGAAATAACTGTACTTGTTACGTACATCATGTTCCGAAGAGTAAGCCGGTAAAACATAGTGCACTTAAGTGCCAAACTGGATGCTGACAAAGTATCCTTCCTCCCTGAAATGCAAACCTCTGATATTACTCTTTTTCTGATGCTTATCTTTCTGTTTTGTGATTTTACTGTGATTTATCGTAAATAATGTTCAATGAACATGTAGCAAAGAAGAAAAACTACTATACTCGAGGCAACTTTATCACAAGGCTGGATGATACTCCAAGCAAGAAAACAACACTGTATACATTAAGGTCTGAAATGATCTGAAGAAGCTATTTTCGATCAGAAAAATCTAAGATGTCTTTGAAGAGATTAAAATCTTGAAAGCAGAGATGAGATGCTCGCACTCCTCTTAAACCACTGTAGGCAATTTCTGTTTCTGGAAAACTGTCAAACGAGCAAAAAATAGGATGAAACTAGGAGCAGAAAAAATCTGGGGCGACTATGTGCATGACTCTTGCAGAAACTTATCGCGACTATGCAGGATTCTTGTAGAGCCGGTCTGCATAATAGGATTTGCGACACGACCGATCGCGACTCTTGCTAGCTCGTGTCGCGATTTTAAAAACAAGACAAGACTCGCGCTGCGAGAACACAATTTTCTTATATAACTAGCGAGATCTTGTCACGAGTCCTATAGCGATTCTTTAGCGCGGGTCGTGCCGCGACTTTCGCACAAAAATCGACCTGGGTAGTAAGTATAATGTGATAGAGAGATGGTTTGTAGTTGGTAAGAATAATAATAATAATCAACCAGTTAGAAGAGAAATCATATATCGCTACAGACACATTTTAATTTTAGACTCGACTGAAGTTATTTTTAAATCGTGGCAGATCTATGCCTGTTTTGGGCTGTATTTGTATTGGCGGCGTATTGGGGAACAACGCGAGAACATCTTAGACATACGGTCTCGACACAATTAACTTCGAAGAAAAAATCAGCGCATTTGCCTGTACTTACGATGAATGCATCACATAAACCGAATTTTTATCGCAAAAATCTTCTTAAGTCAGCAGCAGCCTGTTTAATGTTTGCTTAGTTAACTTGATGGACAATCATATTGCTGTTAGAAATGGTGAACTTTTGTAATTAGAAGTTGAACGACAGTGAATCTTTGGCCAGTCCAAGACGGAATCAGGTTTTTTTACTTCGCCTCTTCAATAACTCAGCGGAATCAATCCGGATCAGGCTGAAGTTTTCAGAAGATAATTGAGTTTGACTACTCTACATATCCTGAAAGTTTCATGGGATTCCGAGTTTCCGTCACAGTTTTATAATTGAAATGTAGGCTCATGACAGCATCACCAAAAATGGACGACGAGTTTGAGCGTTGTTGCTAAGTCGAAAAACATAGCTCAACTAAAAGTGCACCGAAAACTTTTCTATAGGAAACTTGTAGCTTGGGTGACGAGCTATATATGTAGAAAAAAAGTTAAAATTGAAAAATATAAAAATCGGCTTTGATGGAAGAAAAAAGTTTGGTGGTGGAACTACTTTTTCATGAAGGGATCACGTTTTTAGGACTTTTTATGTCTTTCCTGAAGCATTATTGGCTCCTGAAGTGGATTACATTACTTTAGACAACACAATGAGTATGTTAATCTGTAAAAACCGTATTCTCCAGTATGAACAT